CCCCAGCTGCCACCACGGCCGAGCTGTCCCCCAGCCCCCAGCACAGGGCATGAGCTCCAGTGGCAGAGAGAGCTGCTCATGTCCTGGGGGACCCCAAATCCTGCACTTGTGTGAGGTACAAAACCTCCTGTCAGCCCCTTTGTCCAAGACACCAGTTGGTCCTGCCTGGCTAAGGTGGGTTGACAGGGAATATGGGACAATAAAGCCAAGGGGCACAGGAAGAGTGCTGGCAGCAGGGGCTGGTAGAGCCCCCTCCATGCCCCCAGACCCTGCCAGCAGCAGAGGATGGGGCTGTGCTTGCTGTCACACTCCTTGATTGTGCACACTGCAGCCCCTCCAGCCTGGCAGGAGGGAGCAGAAGGGTCTTGCCCCCTCCCACACCAGAGGAAGCTTGTCCTGGGTGTCCAGGATTTGTGGGGTTAATCCCAATTCGCATCACGCCAGGGGTTGCTGTAACCCCAGCCTGGCCAAACCCCCAGGGCCAAACCTGAGCTGGTGGCTTGATTTAAGCAAACCCCCTCAATCCTCATTTTTTAACCATTTCCACCCTCCTTTCCCCATCACTTTCAGTCCACAGCAATCATTACAGGAGGTCAGCACAGCCTGGCACTGCCTGTGCAGGAATAAATGTGGTGACTCACTGGAGGGAAGTAAACCAGCCTGAAATGTGCCCATCAGCCAGGCTGCCCATCACCCTTGCATCAGGCCCTGCTGCCCTGACTCCCTCCAGCTCTGCTGGGTGTTTTAACCATCCCAGAGGATGGGTGATGGGGAGCAGGATGGGAATGTCACGTGCTGACCTGACCTGGCACACAATGGGATTTCTCGTCCCCTCCAAGTGGCTTTACAAATGAGTCCTGGTCTGAAAAAGCAAATGAAGGTAATTGCGGCAGAGACAGACGCTATGAGCAGTGTCAGGGTGAGGGATGAGAGTTATTAGACCCCTCCTGGCTGGTTCTGCTCAGCAAGGAGAGGGAAGGCATCTTAAAGAGGATGATTTCATGTGCAAGCAACATCCTCCCTATTTTACTCACTGAATATTCTAATATTAGCCAAGCTTTAGCAAGCCTGACTCTACAGATCACATCACCATTCTAGCCCCCCATTTCCAACCCACCAGCTGACACTGGAATTAAACACAGAATCATAGAATCGTGGAATGGTTTGGGTTGGAAGGACCTTAAATGGATCTCATTTCACTCCCCTGGGCAGAGACACCTTCCACTGAAGGAGGTTGCTCTGTCCAACCTGGCCTTGGACAGTTCCAGGGATGGGGAATATCTCCCAAGGAATGAATAAATGCCATCCTCCTAGCCCCTGGGGCAGGACCTCGGGCACCACACTGAGTTTGCCACATAGCCCATGTGTGCCAGGAGCAGACTGATACAGGACTCTCCTCCTCAGCTCCCTAAAGTGCCACTCAGCACCCCAAGGCACCAACCCCCTACAAAAATCCTTGCCCAAAGCAGCCAAACATATCCCTACAGCCAGAGGGAACCCAGCACCTTCCCCCCACAGCTCCAACCAGCACTGCCATTCATTCCCACTGCGTCGTCAGGCACTTTTAAACATCCCCCTGGAAGCAATTTGCAGCTGCGAGCTCAGACCTGCGAGTGCCCAGGGCCCTGCCGAGCCCATCAGCCCCCTGCCAGCTCCCACACAGGCTGCAGGGACAGCTGGGCGCAGGCTTTGTCAAGCCAGGCTCTTCCAGCCAGTGGCTTTTAGCAGCTCCAGGAGTTTTTCTTTCACTTATTATTCACTTCTCTTTCACTTAGTTATTACCTGAGAGGTTTGGAGAGAGGGTCCCTGCTTGGGAGTCCAGACTGGAATGCAAAGTTGCCCTGTGCTTGCTCCATCCCCTCCTGCCTTATCTCTCCATCAACACCTCCCAGATTGTTCCGTTCAAGTGCGTAACTTCCCAATCAAGGCACTCGCTTAATTGCGACGGGTTTGGCAGCCTGGGGAGCTCCATCACCACCAGCCGCGAATGGTTCTCTCTAATGCGACTGATAAACCTCTTTCCTGGAGCAGCAGCTTCGTTTGCAGCTCGGAGGGTGTCACCACGATGGACCCTCCACCCTGGGCAGTGGGTTGGAACCTCAGCCCAAGCCTGGAGGGGGCTGAATCCTGCCCCAAAATGCCAGTGCTGAGGGTTAAATTGTTATCCCAGTCATCCCCTTCATCATTCCAGTCATCATCACCTGGTTAATCCCATCATTTTAGTCATCCCAGTTATCCCCCTCATCACTCCAGTCATCCTCATCATCATCCCAGTTATCCCCATCAACCCAGTCAACCCCATCAGCACAGTCATCGCCATCTCTGCTTTGCCCACACCAGCACAGCCCCATCGTGCCTGGGCAGGGGATTACATTCCTGTCCCCCCACCCCTGGCATATCTGGCAGGGTTGGGAATTGCTTTCCCAGCATGTCCAAGCACATCTGGCAGAGCACAGAGTGAATAACTGAATTTCCCCCCCATTTTACTCAAAAAAACCCCAGACCTCAGAGACGTGTGAGTCTATCCAAACCAACTGTTTGTGTAGGAGAGGTAAAACCTGACAATAACACAAATTCTCAGCTTTTTGTTTAACCTGGAAGGAAACTTTTCCAAGAGATACATTTGCAAAAATGCTTGGAGAATAACACTAAAGAGAACTGAAAAGGACTTTTCAAGGACAAGACATTTTTAATGCCATATTTAAAATGGGAAAAAAATAAAAAAAGCTCAACTTGAATATTTCCACCCTTGGGCAAGGGGCTGCCATTTGCAGCCACGGTGAAGGAGATGGGAATGCTGTTGGAGCTGGGCTGAGCTGCTGTTTTCTATTTTCTCCCAGAGAGAAACGGGTTTTGCAGCCTCCAGCTCCTGGTTCTGCTGACTGCAGAACCTGCAGGGTCTCTGTCCCCACTAACATGCTTTCCTGACCCTGCTGAGGTGGAGAAAGGATAAAGGGAAGGGAATGGGGAGCACCAGGAAGCACAGGAACCTCTTTGCTACACCAGTCTGCTCTCCTAGGCTCCAACCAGGACAGCATCACCTGAGGTGGGAAATAATCGATCCCCCACCCCAATTTATTCCATGTACTCCCATCACACAGTGAGCTGTGAGAGTTGCCATAGAATCCTGGAGTGGCTTGTGTTGGAAGGGATCTTAAGGTTCATCTCCTTCCACCCCCTGCCATGGGCAGGGACACCTTCCACTAGCCCAGGTTTGAGTGTCTTCTTTGCCCTTGGTGGAAAATCATGTCACAGAGTGGGATGCCCACCCCAATTTATTCCATGTACTCCCATCACACAGTGAGCTGTGAGAGTTGCCATAGAATCCTGGAGTGGCTTGTGTTGGAAGGGATCTTAAGGTTCATCTCCTTCCACCCCCTGCCATGGGCAGGGACACCTTCCACTAGCCCAGGTTTGAGTGTCTTCTTTGCCCTTGGTGGAAAATCATGTCACAGAGTGGGATGAATGAAACTAGGCAAGGACAAGACAACTAAGCAACCTCAGTTTCTTCTTTGGATGTCTTTGTCCAAGCAATGTTCCTTTCATAGAAGCCCAGACTGGTTTGGGTTGGAAGGATCTTAAAGCTCATGTCATTCCACTCCTGCCATGAGCAGGGACACCTTTCACTAGCCCATGTTGCTCCAAGCTCCATCCAACCTGGCCTAGAACACTCCCAGGGATGAAGCAGCCACAGCTTCTCTGGGCAACCTGTGCCAGTGTCTCAGCACCTCACAGGGAGGAAATTTCTCCCTAACCTCTAATCCAAACCTGCCCTCTGTCAGTATAAAACTGTTTCACCCCTATCTGCCCATGGAAAAATCTCTGTTTTAGAAGTACTCCAAGGAAAACAATATTTTGATCCAGCAACCAAGGGATGCCACAGGCAGATTCAGCCATGCACAGAGATGCTTGTGTGCAAACTGACCCTGCTGTTAATTAATTAGGGTGCAGCTAAAGGAGCTCAGGGCTGTGGAGGATGCTCTGAGCAACAGGGACCTGATGGAAGGAAGGGCTGGAGCTGCTGTCATAGCCCTGACCTTAGCCCAGCTGCCACAGAGCCACCCCCAACCAACCCCACCGTGTTGCCCTTTGAGGACCCTCAGCATCCATTCCCAACCCACCACACTATTCAAAGCATCCTCTTGAGCATCACCTGCAGGGCTGGATGCTCCCAGGGCACACACTCATCCCTGCTGCCCTGGCATCCACCAAAACTTTGCCTCATCCCTTCAGGGAGGGTTTGGGCATGTAGGACCAGGTGTTTCACTTACCATGATGTGACAAGGACCAGAGCCAGCCCTTCCCAAATGCCCTGGGGGATGCAGCCAGGCTTCCCCAAAGGCTCTGGAGCTCCAGGCTGGCTAATTGGGTTGCTTCCAGATGGCCTGTTTCCGGGGATAATCGATCCAATTTCTGCAAGTAAACTCGACAGGGAAGCAAGCTGGATAATCATGATTTACTGGGTGGAAAATCAGATGAAGGAGGGTTGGGGGATAAAGGACATCCTGCAACTGATGCAGGGAAATGGAGTAAATTGATCTTATTGGAGGGTTGACTTGTCTGGAAAGTTCTTTGTTCCTTTGAATAAGGGCAGGCACTGAATGAGTGTCACCTCCCTAATCTCTCTTTCCTGCAGGCCCTTTTCAGGGACTGGAAGGCCACAATTAGGTCACCCCAAAGCCTTCTCCAGGCTGAACAATCACAGTTCTCTCAGCCTCTCCTCATAGCAGAGCTGCTCCATCCCTGTCATCATCTTGGTGCCTCCTCTGGACTCACTCCAGCAGCTCAGTGTCCTTCCTCAGTGTGTTCCCTGGTGCACCTGGAAGGTCACTGAGCACACTGATGCTGCAGTGATCCCTTTGCCCACCAAGGGTGGTGACACCTTCTGAGCAGCTGTGCCTCCTCCTCATCCTCTCAAGTGTGCACACACATATTTGGGCAGCTCTGACCACCTGTAACATCTCCCTTCTCTGCCACCTCCAGGTACACCAAGATGAAGACAGCCACCAACATCTACATCTTCAACCTGGCGCTGGCAGACGCACTGGCCACCAGCACACTGCCCTTCCAGAGTGCCAAGTACCTGATGGAGACCTGGCCCTTTGGGGAGCTGCTCTGCAAGGTTGTGCTCTCCATTGACTACTACAACATGTTCACCAGTATCTTCACCCTCACCATGATGAGTGTGGATCGCTACATCGCCGTGTGCCACCCGGTCAAGGCCTTGGACTTCCGCACACCGGCCAAGGCCAAGATCATCAATGTGTGCATCTGGGTGCTCTCCTCCCTCATTGGGGTGCCCATCATGATCATGGCAGTCACCAAGTCAAAAGGCAAGTGGCTTTTGGGGACATGTCCCCTCCTGTCCCATCTGTCCATCCTAGGGGTGACCTGCTAAATCTGACACCTGGTCCTGGAGCAGGTTTGAGGTCAGTGATGAGCAACTTTCCATGGGACCATAAATGTGCCATGGAAAAGGTATCATGGTGTTATTTTTCCATCTTGGAAACTCCCAGAAATTTTCCTCCTCCCTCCACATCTCCTGTCCAACCAGTGCCTCTGTGCAGCTCCTTGGGGGCAAATCAGGTGCCTAAAAACACCTCCAGTGGTGCTGCAAAGCCCCCAGATGGTTCACACTGTCCCTGTGTGAGGAAAGCTCTGAGCACTTTGAGGAGGTGAACAGATTTCAGTGGAAGGTGACATGGGGATGTGTCCACCATGGGAGTTGGGAGGAGACAGCATTGGGATGGTCCTGGAGCAGGAACCAGGTCCCTGGGTCACTGCATCCACTGCATCCTGTGGGCAGGGGCTGGTGGCACAAAGCTCCTGGGGAACCTCTGCCAAGAGCTGGCAGGTGGGAATGCACCTCCCTGGGGTTCTAACAAGGGGGGATATGCCCAGCCATGCCCGAGCAGAAGGCAGAGTATTCACAGCAGACACTCCACCAGCTGCCTCCCTGACCCTCCTCTCTCCCACAGATGGAATGGTGCTGTGCACCCTCCAGTTTCCTGATCCTCCCATCTACTGGGACACTGTCACCAAGATCTGTGTCTTTATCTTCGCCTTCCTGGTCCCCATCTTGGTCATCACCATCTGCTATGGGTTGATGATCCTCCGCCTGAAGAGCGTTCGCCTCCTCTCGGGCTCCAAGGAGAAGGATCGCAACCTGCGGCGCATCACGCGCATGGTGCTGGTGGTGGTGGCAGCCTTCATCATCTGCTGGACACCCATCCACATCTTCGTCATCGTCTGGACGCTGGTGGACATAGACAAGAAGAACCCCTACGTGGTGGCCAGTCTGCACTTCTGCATCGCCCTGGGCTACACCAACAGCAGCCTCAACCCTGTCCTCTATGCTTTCCTGGATGAGAACTTCAAGAGGTGTTTCCGAGAGTTCTGTCTGCCCTTCCGAGCCCGCGGGGACCAGAACAGCTTCTCCCGTGCCAGGAACACCACGCGGGAGCACGTCTCCACCTGCACCCCTTCGGAAGCTCGCAACAAGCCGGCATGACTAGACGTGGGCAGCCCCCAGAGGGGCTGCCAGGGACAAGGAGGGGATGACCTGCGCTCAGAGGTCACCCAGGTCACCACCACGGAGTTCTAGCAGAACAAGTTCAAAGACTTTTTTCATCCTGGAGAAGTGGGATAAGGGAATTAGGACTCACCAAGTGATGGAGAGAGAGAGGACCAGAACAAGAGGCAACTTGGGCAGAGCTGGGACAGACACAGACCTGGTCATGCAACAAAGGCTGTCACACTCCTACATGTGGGTCTTGGCAAAGCCTGAGACACTGGGACTGCAGTGACCTTGTGTTTCTCCTCATGATGGGCCAAGATGGCACCACAGCCCATGGCAAGAGGGGAAATGCTCCCTCTGCGCCAGGGGGTGATCATTGAGTGGTTTAGGTGGGAAAAGCCCTCTAAGATCATTGAGTCCAACCATTCCCCCAGCACTGCCAAGGCCACTGCTAAACCACATCCTCAAGTGCCAAATCCACATGTCTTTTAAATCCTCCAGGGACAGTGGCTCCACCACTGCCCTGAGCAGAATGTGCCAGGACTGGACAGCCCTAATGGTGAAGAAATGTTTCCTAATATCCAACCTAAACCCATGGCATGACTTGAGGTGATTTCCTCTGCCACATCATGGGACCTCACTCCATCCCCCTCTGAGCTGTGTTCAAAAACCAGCCAGAGATGGGAAGAGAAAACGATGCTACTTCAGAGACTGTCATCAAAGAGCTCCAGATGCATAGTAAATCCTCCTCTGGAGTCCTTCAATCCAGAACTGCCCCTGGAGAACAACTTTCTACTGTTAATGTCATGATTGTGTTATTTAGAGACCTCTGACCCAGTCAGGGCATCCCTGGACCTGGATGTGATGCTGGGAATACAGATACAAATAGGGGACAGAGCAGGGCACGTCTGAAGGTCACCCTGGATCCATGTGCCAATGCCAAATTCCCCATGCCCAGCATCCATCAGGGTGACTGAGAACTGCTGAAGACATTAAGCCTGAGAAGAACTTCATTAAAGGAGCAATTTGTGGGGACTTGAATTGTTTCTCACAGTGCTAAAGCAATTAGGATGGTTTAATGGGTGGCGCCGAGGGCTCTCTCTCCCCTGCCTGTGGGGAGAAGGATGAGCCATGCTCTGCCCAGATTTTCTTAGCAAGGAGCCTAAAAGGATAGAATGGGGTTGTTTGTTTTTTTCTTAGAAGAGGACAAAAATATCACCATCCTTTCCCAATCCCCCAAGCAGGGAGAGAGGTGGTGCAGGCACCGAGAAAGGACCCACAGCCTGCAAGAGGCAGAGATTTGGGTGGTTTGACACTCCTCTGCATGGAGCAGAATCCTTCTGAAGGGATGGCTGAGCTCCCATTGCATCCTGCAGGAACCACCATCCAGGGACCTCTGGACTACAATCCCTGCAGCTGAACAATGACTGATGTGTCCTCCTACCTTCTGCTCCCTGATTTCTCCTGTCAGTCCCCACCACATCCATGAGCCACAACTTTTCCTTCCTCTCACCTTCTCACCACCACTGCCAGACAGCCTGAGGAGGAGGAGGATGAGGAGGATGCTTGGGGGACACAGTAATAGCATTGAGAGGACAAATTGCTGCAGCTGGAGGAAGCAGGCGAGTGCCTGGGTGCACCTGGGCTGGATGCAGAGCTTGGCTTGTGTCTGCTCTCTCCAGTTACATCAATTTCGGCTAATAAAGGCCATTACCTCTCCTCACCAGTCTCACTTTGTCCAGAGCCTGTGGAAATTGCAGCCTCTCTGTTCGGAAGGCAGAACTGACGAGGCAGCCAAAACCAATTCCTCTTTCAACGGAATCAAACAGGGTAAAAATTGCCCATTTGGGTCTCAAATCAAGTGATCCTCCTCGTCTGCCTGTGCCGTGTCTCCCTGCAGTAGGCAAAAGTCTCTCACTCAGCATTGCATCTGACTGGACATCCCCAGCTCATGCCCAGGGCTCCTTGGGATCTCTTTACAGGCATGGATGGAGTCCTGGACCACCAGCAGGGCCACACTTGGTCTCCCCATCCTCTGCCACCACCAGCCTGGTTGCTTGTGGAGCATTGGGTGAGGGAGAGCAGGATCAGCTCCAGGGCAGGAACTGGGGGGAAACTCCAGGGTCCCATGGAGCTGAACTTTGGCTCTGTGAGAAGACAGACTAGAGTGTCCAGAGGAGTTGGAGACCATCCTTCAACTCTGTCCCTCCACCCACCCCAGGGGCAGAACCCTTAGCAGTGTGTGGTGGGAAAGGTTTGGAGCTGGTTGATGGTAAGGATTGGGCCATGGTAGGATGTCAAGATGTCCCACTAGGCTGGATGTCCCTGCAGGGGTTGGATGTCCCATACTGTGGAGCAGGACAACTTGGGGGTCACTCCTGACTCCTGCATGAAGCTGCTTTCCAGCTGGATATCTCAGTTTGAGGGGTACCTCTCAAAAATGATGACCCCAAATCACTGATCTCTTCAACCTGCCTTAGCCAGTGCCTCAGCATCCCCTAAAATCTGAGCCTGGGGTTGAGGCTGGGAATGGCACATGGAGAGAAGTGTTTTCACACAGTGTCTGCTGAGAGCACAGCGAAGGAACTGGGGGACAGGGGGTGAACCTCACCATCAGGGCTGGGGCATCTCTGCCCCTTTGAGGACATGTCTTCATGTTGGGGGGGACAAGTGACCCCCCACAAGTTCTGGGTGCTGTGGGTTGACTCCATGAGCAGCTCAGCCACCCCCCCTCCCATTTCTTATTCCCAAGGGGCCTTTTATCCATCTGCTGCATTCCCAGCCTGCTGGGAAATGTGCCTGCCATGGCCTTAAAGCAGGTTAAAAGGCTTCAAGTCATTACTTTTTAAAATGCCACCACGCTTGGGCAGAGCTCAGAGCTCAGGACACAGTGTGAACGTGGCCTCCCTGAGCTTTGGGTTTGCTGACTCAAGGAAAAATAGATCATTCCTGGGAAAACACCAGACTGAGGCAGATGGGGTGACATGGACTTTAAGCATCCCATTCTAGCAGCTTCCCAGCAGGGATCTGGGGGCTGAGCCAGCTTCTCCCCTCCCAAAAACCAGCTCCTTGTTCAGGCTGGGAAACTGGGGATGAATCCTGACCCAGGGAAACAGCACTGGGAGCTCCTACCTGTGCAGGCCAATCTGTGCCACAGTTGGGATATTTGGAGGGAACTGTATACTTATAAATACATATATAGATGTATCTCTGTTTAAAGGTGTTTGAAATTAAAGTGACCCCAAGACCCCTATCCCACCCCCTGCTGCAGCAGGTGCTCCATGGGCTGTGGAGATCCACTGGGTCCACAGCATCTTGCCAAGTGCTTCAGCCACAACTTCCAGCTCCAGCCCTTGGAATTTTGACAGCATTTCTCTATAGGAAACTGGTTTCTAAAAACTAAAATAATCCAATAAAATAAAGAAAACCAGAGATAGGAAGCACTTTGGAGCTCTCCTGTGACTCTCAGGGGGGTGTTTTGGGGAGTAATGGGAAAGAAACTACTTCCAAATTTACTCTACTCTTCCCTGTGATGTGCTGAGGCACTGGCACACGTTGCCCAGAGAAGCTGTGGCTGCTCCATCCCTAGAAGTGCTCCAGGCCAGGTTGGATGGGGCTTGGAGCAACCTGAGCTGGTGGAAGGTGTCCCTGCCCATGGCAGGAGTGGAATGGGATGAGATGAACTTTAAGGTCAGAGAATCAGCTGGGTTGGAAAAGACCTCCAAGATCATCAAGTCCAACCCTACTGTGGTTACTAG